ATCTGCAGACAAAAGGTCTTGCAAAGGTTAAAAGGTTGAGTTCTTGCTTAATTGGAGTAGTGGCATTTGCATACCCCTCCACCTAGAGATTTCCTGGGAAACCTACTTAAATAAGAGTTCACTCTTGTGTCAGCCCATTGTTTAAAAGAATCCATTCGAACTCATAACATTTCCCAAGGTTTACATGAGTCATGTCTCCTAAACAAGTTACATACAATCCCAGAACAATACATAAACATTTTCATTTTAATATAGTGAGCTCATAAGATACTTAAACTTACTTAACATAAGAGCAGAAGAGCTGCCCTACTGGGTCAGACCATGGTCCATCTTCCCCAGTATTCTGTCTCTAACAATGCCTGAGAAGTGTACAGAACAGGGCAATTTTCAAGTGATCCACCTCTGGTTTACACTTCTGGCTTCTAGTAATCAGAGGTTTAGGGATGTTCCGATGATGAGGTTGAATCCCTGACAATCTTGGCTAAAAGCCATTGATAAATCTATCATACCTCAACTTACCCAGTTCTTTTTTTAACTCAGTTATACTTTTGGCCGTCACTACATCCCATAGCAATGCGTTCCACAGGTTAGTTGTCCATTGTGTGAAAAAGTACTTCTTCTTGTTTGTATTTAACCTGCTGCCCATTAATTTCATTGGGTGACCCTTGGTTTTTATAGTGTGTGAAAAGGTAAATACACTTCTCTCTTCACTTCTTCCACACCATTCATGATTTTATAGACCTCTGTCATATCCTCTCTCAGTTGTCTCTATTCTAAGCTGAACAGCCCTGATCTTTTTCATTTCTCCTAGGATGGAAGCTGCTCCATACCACTGACTATCTGTGGCAGGGCGCTGTAGGGAAAGCCCTACTCAGCTCCTGCCACTCCAGACCAACCAGGGGAAATGGGTTGGGGCTGGGCCACTAGCTAGGACTGGCCTGGAAACTGGCCGCACCTGCCAGCCTCGTTAACAGGGGCTAAAAGCTTGGGTGAAAGTGAGTACGGGGGGGGCGGTCTGGAGACCAGGAGGAGAGAGTAGGCTCAGAAGGAGCCAGGAACCTGCTACCCCATTGCCACTGTGGCCTGTGCTAGGCCAAACCTCTAAATAATCTGTAAATAGTTGGAGCTTGATGGTGGGGACCGGACACAGGAATAAAGAGCATGGGTGTTGCACCAGTTTGAAGTGGTCCTGACTCATTGGGGAGCGGGGCCAGGAGGCTGAACCCAGCGGGGCGCAGAGAGCACCCCTGTTACACCATCCTTGTTGCCCTTCTCTGAACCTTTTCAAGTACCACTATATCCTTTTTGAGGTGGGGTGACCAGAACTTGACCCAGTATTCAAGGTGTGGCTGCACCATGGATTTATATAGTAGTATTATGATATTTTCTGTCTAATTTTCTCTCCCTTTCGTAATAGTTTCTAACATACCATTAGCCTTTTTGATTGCTGCTGTGCATTGACCAGATGTTTTCAGAAAACTATCCACCGTGACTCCGTGATCTGTTTCTTGGGTGGTAACAGCTAATTTAGACCCCATCATTTTGCATGTATAGCTGGGATTATGTTTTACAATGTGCATTACTTTGCATTTATGAACATTGAATTTCATCTGCCATTTTGTTGGCCAGTCACCCAGTTGTGTGAGATCCCTCTGTAACTGCTTGCAGTCTGCTTTGGACTGAACTATCTTGAAGAATGTATCATCTGGAAACTTTGCCACTTCACTGTTCACCCCCTTTTCCAAATCATTGAGTATGTTGAACAGCACTAGTCCCAGTTCAGCTCTTTAGGAGACACTTCTGTTCACCTCTCTCCATGATGAAAACTGCAAACCGCGGCCACTGGGAGCTGCGGGCAGCCATGCAAATGTAAACAAACTGTCTTGTGGCCCGCCTGCGGATTACCCTGACGGGCCGCATGGGGTTGCCCACCACTGATGAAAACTGACCATTTATTCCTACTTGTTGTTTCCTATCTTTCAACCAGTTACTAATCCATGAGAAAACCTACCCTCTCATCCCATGGCTACCTAGGGCACGTTTACACTTAAAATTGCACCGCTGTAGTGCTTTAATGAAGATGCTCTAAACTGAGGAAAGAGAGCTCTCCCATCATCTTAGTTAATCCACCTTCCTGAGAGGCAGTAGCTATGTCAGTGGGAAAAGCTCTCCCACCAAAATAGCCCTGTCTACATGGGGTGTTAGGCTGGGATAAGTACGTTGCTCAGGGATATGGATTTTTCACACCCCTGAGCAATGCAGTTATACCGATATAGGTCTGTATTGTAGACCAGACCTTAGTTTTAATAAGAGCCTTTAATAAGGGACTTTATCAAAGACATTCTGAAAATCCAAGTACAGTATATTGACTGGATCACCCTTATCCACATGCTTGTTGACTCCCTCAAAGAATTATCATAGATTGGGGAGGCATGACATCCCTTTACAAAGGCTGTGTTGACTCTTGCCCAACAAATTGTATTTTTCTGTGTGTATGATGATTCTATCCTTTATAATCATTTATATCAGTTTTCCCGGTACATTAGACTTACCAGCCTGTAATTCCCAAAATTTCCTCTGGAGTCCTGTTTAAAACTCCGTGTTGCATTAATTACCTTTCAGTCATCTGGTATAGAGACTGATTTCAGTTACAGGTTACTACAGTTCTGCAATTTCATTTCTGGGTCCCTTCAGAATTCCTGGAGAATACCAACAAGGAGTCTGGTGGCACCTTAAAGACTAACAGATTTATTTGGGCATAAGCTTTCGTGGGTAAAAACCTCACTTCTTCAGATGCAGTGAGGTTTTTACCCACGAAAGCTTAGGCCCAAATAAATCTGTTAGTCTTTAAGGTGCCACCAGACTCCTTGTTGTTTTTGTAGATACAGACTAATGCAGCTACCCCCTGATACTGGTGAATACCATGATCCTGGTTACTTATTACTGTTTAACTTATCAATTTGTTTTAAAACCTCTTCTACTGACACATCAATTTGGGACAGTACTTCAGATTTGTCACCCCAAGAGAATAGCTGTGATGTGGGTATCTCCCCCATATCCTCTGCAGTGAAGACTGATGCAAAGAATTCATTTATCTTCTCTGCCTTGGTCTTGTCTTTCTTGAGTGCTCCTAGAACACCATTGTCGTCTAGTGGCCCCTCTGCTTGTTTGGCAGGCTTCCTGCTTCTGATGTACTTAAAAAAATTCTTATTGATAGTTTTTTCATCTTTAGCTAGTTGCTTCTCAAATTTTTTCTTGGCCTGCCGTATTATACTTGTACATTTTACTTGCCAGAGTTTGTGCTCCTTCCTATTTTCTTGATTAGGATTTGACTTCCAAATTTTAAAGGATGCCTTTTTGCCTCTAACAGCCTCCACTACTTTGCTGGTTAGTTATGGTGGTATTCTTTTGGTTCTCCAACTGTCTTTTTTGATTTGGGGTATATATTTAGTCTGAATCTCTATTATGGGGTTTTTAAGTGGCCTCCATGCTGCTTACAGGCATTTTACCCTTGTGACTGCCATTTTTATTTTCTGTCTAACTAGCATCCTCATGCTTGTGTAGTTCCCCCTTTTAAAGTTAAAAGTCACTGTGATGGTTTTGTTTTGTTTTGTTTTTTTAGTATTTCCCCCTCTACAAGGATGCTAAATTTCATTACATTGTGGTCACTATTATGGAGCAATTCAGCTATAGCTACCTCTTGGACCAGATCCTGTGCTTCACTTAGGACTAAATCAAGCATTGCCTTTCCCCTTGTGGGTTCCAGGACTAGCTGCTCCAAGAAGCAGTCATTTATGATGTTTAGAAATGTTATCTCTGTGTCATGCCCTGAGGCGACATTTATCCAGTCAATAGAGGATAGTTGAAGTTACACATTATTAATGAGTTTTCTGGCCTCTCTAACTTCCCTTAGATCCCTTAGTATTTCACAGTCACTATCATTATCCTGGTCAGGTGGACAGTGTATATTTCTACTGCTATACTCTTAACATTCACTAAGGTTTGTCCAGGAAATTGCCATACCTGTTACACTTTATTTTAGGTAGTTATATGGACCTTCTTTTCTATAGTATCTGAGTGCTTCACAATCTTCAATGTATTTATCCTCACAACACCCCTATGAGGTAGGAAAGTACTATTATCCCCCTTTTACAGATAGGAAACTGAGGCCCAGAGAGTCAAAGCCTTGTCTACATTTGAAAGGAAGGTTCTCGCGTCACGGCAGGTAATCCACCTCCCTGAGAGGTGGTAGCTAGGTCGACAGAAGAATTCTTCAGTCTACACAGGGACATAGGTGGGCTTAACTATGCTGATCAGTTATGTGGATTTTTCAGACCCCTGAGCGACATAGTTATGCCGACCTAATTTTCTAGTGTAGGCCAGGCCTAAGTGACTTGCGCAAAGTCACACAGGAAACCTATGCTAGAGCACATTTGAACTCAGATCTCCCAAGTTCTAGGCTGGTACCCTAACCACTGGGCCACACTTTCTGTCTGAGGCCTGAGACCTTTGTGCTTCGGAACAGCCTACACTCACCTCCCTTTGATCAGATTGTCTTTGTCTTTTTTTTAATTAATAACTTCTGTGGTACCTTAATGCCAGGAATCTGCCCTCACCAAAGCTGAGAATGGTATTGAGAGTACTGGTAATACACCGCCAAGAATCATTAGACTGATCCTGCTACACTGTTTGTGTCTAGATAACATAGCATGATAGGCCTGATAGCACTGGTAAAGCATTACCAGTACTCCCTACACTATTAAAAACTAGTGAAAGGACGCTCTTGAAAGAACTGGCATCTTTAAATGGTTTTGATAATTCTTTAGTTTTGGAGTAGAAGCAGGAGTAGATAAGGAGAAACGGAGAGGAGGATGACAGAAAAAAGAAAGAGGAAAGAGTTTACAGCGTCTCGGAGCTTTCTAATATTCCCAGATCTGAGAAATACACATGGTGGTCCCTTGGCATTAAATATTCTTGACTGTTTTTTTTTCCTCTTTCAGTCTGTGTCCGATTCTTCCCTTGCTGTTCAGTGGATACCACAACATTTTCAGGCAAAATTTGGTGGAGGCTGAGGAAAACCTGCTACAGAATAGTTGAACACAACTGGTTCGAAACTTTCATCATATTCATGATCCTGCTGAGCAGCGGCACGCTGGTAAATTTAGCATAATCTCTCATTAGGTTTAAAGTGTATGTGTATCTAAAGGAAAGAGATGATGGGCTAGTTACATTCCACTTCAGGAAAACTCACCCCTTGCTGCTTGTTTCCCTAAAGATGATTAGTTTGGGAATAAAACTTGTCTTATCCCTTGGTAAATTCACCGTCCTGTCTCAACATTTTACAAAGATATTTACTAAAAACTTAGGTCCAGACCCTTCCACTCTTACTCCCATGCAGTAGTACTTTACTCCATGAGTAGTCCAATGGCAGCCAAACACCACATAAGTTAGGGGAGCTCAGAGATGGCGCAGTAGTTGTGAAGATTGTCTTCCTCATGTGTCGATTTCTTGAGGACCGGACTGTTGCATTCTGAAGGAATGTTCGGAGGGCACCCTTTGCTGGCTTTCACTAGCTCAGAGAGACACGAATCGCTTTCTTAAGGTGTGACCCAGATGTTCCTTAGAGCATGGGGTTCAGAAGCAGGTCCAGGAAGGTCGGGCCCACCCTCCCTTTCGCTTATGCTGGCGGGGGAAGGGAGAGATCTGAAAATATTTTTTTCTGTTGTAACATGGGGTTCCAGTATGGAAAGGATTGAGAACCACACCTTTATTACTTCCACACATGTGATGTTACCAAACTCAATCAGGCCTGGCTGGATGATTATTGCCCTGAGTTCTACTTTGGGATCCTCTGCCACAGAGGTTTCACCCCAGACTCCAATTATCTTTTATGCAAAGTAGGATGAGAATCTTAATTGCTGCCTTTGGCTGTTCAGAATGCTAGCATTCGACTTTTGGCTTATGTGTATTGGGCTGATTAACCAGTTTGCTATCTGGAACAATTATACAGGCTCTGTATACATGAACTGGCTTTGGAATTGATCACTGTATCATTCATTCATCCCCAATTTTTCTTTCCCTTTTGTGTTCCCCACAGTCCACATTCAGGTAAAAAAAGATCAAGGCATTTGTGATTGTTCATTTAGGCCCTGATCCTGCAAGCACTTATGCACATGGGTGACTTTACACATGTGAGGAACACTACTGAAGTCAACGGGACTCCTCACAGATGTAAAGTTAAGCATACGCAGATGTCTTTGCAGGATGGGGGCCTTATTTTGTTATTTAGAAACAACGTGCTAAAAACTCTCCGTCAGGCTAACGAACACTAAACCAGTTCAGACACAAGAGAGTCTTGTAAATTTAGAATATAAATAATGCTTGATGTCTGGTTAATTTAAAAATATTTTCTCAGGGAAAAAAAAGTTAAATTATGAGCATAACCCTATGTATTTATTTTATTTTTGCCATGCCTATTATTTCATATCTTAATTAGATTTTGAATGGGGTAGTAATAGTTTTCCCTAGCTCTGTGCAGCATAGCACTTTTTCCTTGGATCTCAAAACATTTTACAAATGTTAAGTAAACCTACCAACATGCCTGGGAAAGAAGTATTATTTTCCCCAATGTACAGCTGTGTAAACTAGAAATAAGGGTTAACTAGCTTAGCCAAGGTCACATAGCAAATCAGTGATAGGGCAAGGAATAAAATGAGAAATCACCGTAGTTAGCTGTCCCCTGCTCTATGCTCTATTCCTTAAAAAACATGGTCTCCTAGAGTCAAGGGGGCATATGATAATGCATTGATAATACTGGTGTAAAAACTATTGGGACTTGATCAAATTGAATATACTGTTTGGACTGTGCTGGGGAAATCTGAAATATGGTTGTGGGACACTTTGTAATAAATTAACCCTCTAAAGAGCTATTAATACTCAAAAAGTCTGTGTGGAGTTTATTTGAGAATCCCCTTGAAGAAGAAGGAAACTGAGGCAGGGCATCTCCAGAGCACCTCAGGCCACGAGGTGGTGCATGGGAGATGGTCACTCAGTTACAGGGATTTTCAAAAGTGCTTAAGGGATTTAAAAGCACAACTCCTGTTGCCTCATCAACGCTTTTGAAAATCTCCCCCAAAATCAATTTACTGTATAAAAATAAAGGGAAATGAATACAGCCTTCATGCCTAGGATTTCCTTCTATTTAACAGTCAGGTTATCCAGAAAAGACACCTTCATTACGTAAATCCTAATATTTCTGCTTGGACACCAAGATACAGTTTTAAGTGCACCTTCATAATGAACAATTGCCTACAGGAAAACAGATAGTTACTCATTACAATTTCAAAATACAAAATATACATTTACTGTGGCTTCTGGTATAAATGACATCAAATCAAACAATACTGTAGACTTGCACTATAATATGAACATTTTCCACTGCAGTACTGCAGAGCAGTTCTAAAGCGATGCTTTGTACTTCCAGGCATTTGAAGATATTTACCTTGAAGAGAGAAAAAACATTAAAACCCTGTTGGAATATGCTGACAAAATTTTCACTTACATCTTTGTCCTGGAGATGCTTCTGAAATGGGTGGCTTATGGCTTCAAGAAATATTTCACCAATGCCTGGTGTTGGCTTGACTTCCTAATTGTAGATGTAAGTATCACTTTTGAAATATTATGTTCCTTGGGTTGATTATGCAGCATGCAGGAATGCAGATGAAGTTAGTTGACATTCAAATTCATGGTGATGACTTAAAATATTTACAAGCTGTTATGACCGACAGCTCCTTTCAATGCAAAACGATCAGCAGAAGTACCTATGTGAATTCATTTGCCATAGAGAAATCTCAGTGTAGCATAATAGCAAACATATAATTACATTTTCCTTACAACCTTATTGGCGTAAATGAAATGACCTTCATCTCTTAATGTTAACCAGGTTCCCTCTCTGTCCTGTTAAGTCTGCTAGTACTTGCACTTGTAAAATGACAGGCATCGTTCTGAGGGTAAGAAGCAACCTTACATGAACCTAGATGTAAAATGCAAGGCTTGTTATCTCATTGAGCATCCTCTGGCAACCAGCGTGCCAAAATGAAAAGCAGCTTTGTATCATTACACGGAGGTGTTATTGTGCTAATTTAAGTCACACTTCATTTTCAGCCATAAGAACTCACTCTTTCTCTTAGCATTTCACATCTCATTCCACACTCCAGGCTCGCACCAGGTCTGGTTACCTCTAACTGGGCAGCACATGACCTCAGCCCACTAGGCTTTCAGCAGATTAGAGAAACTATCCCCTGGCATGTTTTCCTGGGGAGGCTGCCAGAGGTACATAACAACATGTTCAGTACCATCTTCCAAGTATTTACAAGTGAAGGAGTCCAGGAGATGAAGGCATGAAAAGTTTTCTAGGACTGAAAGTGGTTTCTCCAGGGCAAAGTCTTACAAAAGAATCTGATTCCCTCATGCCTTCCGATATTGAAATTCGCTGTTCTTAGTTTTCCTGACAGGGAAATCCTTAAAACTAGACAGCAAGGCCGAATAAAGGCAAGCCCACGCTACAAGAATGATAGATCCAGACTTTTACCCTTTCTTCCCCTCAAGTTCAGGGTCTTTGGGTGCTAGTTACAGATAAGGACCAGCTGCAAACCATGTAGATCCCAAAGTACCAGAGTGCTTGGATGTGGGCTTTGAGCCTGTATCTACAGCTTATGGACATGGCTGGTGAATTCACTTAAGACTAAATACACTGAGCCAAGGCTTCTATTTTTTTACAGATGAGCAGGAATTTTTAATTAGATTGTATCAAAAATGGGTTAATTGTCGCAAGTATCTCCTTGGTGCTCTTACTAGCTTGACGTATTTGTGCCAAAGGCTGGTGAAGCTCTACACACCTGTCATTTATTTACTTTTAACAAATGCTGTTTTTCCATTTTACACCAGAACCTTGTGTCTAGGGATACTGTACTTTCTTTGACCCCAATCCAAAAAAGCACTTCATTGGGGCTACTCAAGTGTTTAATGTTATGATGGTGCTTATGTGCATTGCTCGATCAGGGCTTCCCCAGAGCTTTAATAGATTTCATCAAGTTCATTAAATTATACCTCTCGCTTTTCCTCTTATATATTCTGAGAAACCTCGTAAAGAGAATGAATTTATTTTTCACAGAATTGCTTCAATGACAGAGCAAGGCATGGTTTAATGGTTTGACCACAAGATTGGTTTGACCACCAACTCCTGAGTTATAATCCTAAGAATGGCTCCCATCTGTGGCTTTGGTCAAGTCACATAACATTTCTGCCTTGGTTTCTCCATCTGCGGAATGGGGATAACAGGAATTACCCTTTCATGGGTATTACCTTCATGGGCATTCGGAGGATTAATTTCAGAAATCAATGTCTGTAAAGTGCTTTGGAAAATAGGAAGTACTACATGAGTGCTGAGTATTATCACTACTATAAACAGAGGTTCTTAGTAAGAAGAATTGCAATTTGCACATCGAATGCATTGGAACAATTTGGAGCTTTAATGTGGCTTCATTATAAACAGTTTCAAATGAGTTTCACAGTTGTTATTAATACATACGTATTATAGTATTACATGTGTAGCATTTAATTAATATCAAAGGGAGTAAAACTGAGCACCCAAGCTAAAATTCTGTCCTCCATGTGGAAACCTCTCATTTAATAAGAGTGACTTGTGAATCCAAAGTCAGCATCTGACCCAGAAAGTTTATGTACAGTTTATGTATTACAGAAAGTTTATGCATTATCCCTTTGAATAATGGGGTTTGTACATGTAACACTATGTCACACTGAACATTTACTCTCAAGTCTTTCTGGTTATGTAGACATTTTGGTTTCTTAAAATATATTTTAAGTTTTGCTTTTGCAAATCCATTTAGTTAACCAAAAATTGCCTCTTAGTTGAGACTCTCAAGTTACTTAACTGACCCAAGGAAGTCACTTGTCTATAGAGTTCCCAGTTGACAGCTTTTCCTCTTGCATCTTTCTGATCCCCAACTCATCTTCTGATGATGTTTATGAAAGTCCTGCATTATTTTTTGAAGATTTTAACAGATGCTCCTCTACAGGCTATATTGTTTACCCACGCTGTATGACTCTGAATTGGCACAGTGACATGCTCTGATTTTCCTATGAGAACCAAATCTACAGCCACTGAACTGAGTCAGGGACTGAAAGGATGAATTAACTGTTCCAAAGAAACAGATGAGCCATTTGTCTGACTTTCTCAATTGTATTTGTTGTTCAGAATTAATCATTTAACAATTATTGATTTGCCAATTGTTCATGAGCAGTTTATTGTCAATATTCAAAATTCAAGGTGTGTTGGCTGATTTTTCATTGGAGATGTCAGTCACATGGTATCATCTGTGTTTTCTGGTTGTACTAGTGTAACTCTTACAATCAATTTTCCAATACTGACACAACCAGTTTAGAATTTTCTTTCAGCAAATATTCACTGATATTCACTTAAAATTCTATTTCTACAAACATTTCTGCTAGGAAATTAGCTTACTAGAATCTAAATGATAAGAACACAAAGGGGACATAAATCATGTCCCGTGCATTATTTAAGCAAATATTTGAGGGATATTTTTGAGGTACTTATTCAGCTCTGTGACAGATCTTTGACACTGATTTGTGCCTATGGAAGAGCAGTGACTACCTCATAATTGTGGATTAGTAAACTAGATTCTGGATATCAAAGCCTGGACACCAAAAATTCCACAGTAATCGACATACTGGAGGCTATTTTTGCCAGATATAGAATCCTGAAGGATGATCTCTGATAATGGGCCTCAAAACATCTCAAAGGAATGTGCCAATTTAACAAAAAAATAAAAAAGGGTTTTTAAACACATTGCAATACAATAAGGCCATGTTAACGGCATAGCAACAGATTTGTTGGGGAAAATGGCCAAAAAGCAAAATGCACACTCATTAAAACCTAGGACTGATGGGAAGGACCTTTCCAGGAGTCTACTCAAATACTGGATACACCTACCTAGTTTGCAAGTGTACTACTAAAGACAAATCTAATGCAGTCAATTTACAGTGAACATGGATTTTTGTGTGCACATGACGCAGGATGATGGCCAGTGTAAACTCACAGTTGATCTCAACTAGGAATATATTCAGAGATTGTAAAAGGTCTGAAGCTTGAATAGGTGTGAATATCATTCTGATTTGCACCGGATAGACAGAAACAGTGTTTATGCCCCTTGTTCGGATGTACATACCTATACTCACACAAAGAATAGCCATTTATACAAACGTTTATACAAACAAAAACTTAGAATCATAGAAAGGTAGGACTGGAAGGGACCTCAAGAGGTCACCTCGTCCAGCCCCCCGCAGTGAGGCAGGACCACGTATACCTAGACCATCCTTGACAAGTGGTTGTCTAACATGTTCTTAAAAACCTCCAGTGATGGGGATTCTGCAATCTTCCTTTGAAGCTTATTCCAGTGCTTAACTCTCTTTATAATTAGAACGTTTTCCCTACTATCTAACCTAAATCTCCAGTGCTGCAGATTAATCCCATTACTTCTTGTCCTGCCTTCAGTGGATGTGAACAACAGCTGATCATTGTCCTCTTAATAACAGCCCTTAATAAATATGTTTGAAAACTGTTATCAGGTCCCTCCTCGGTCTTCTTTTCTCAAGGCTAAATGTTCCCAGTCTTTTTAACCTTTCCTCATAGGTCAGGTTTTCTAAACCTTGTATCATTTTTCTTGCTCTCCTCTGCGCTCATTCCAATTTGTCCACATCTTTTAAAGTGCAGCACCCAGAACTGGACACAGGACTCCAGCAGCGGCCTCACCACTGCAGAGTAGAGCAGACAGTTACCACCAGGATGTTACATATGACACTCCTATTAACACACCCCAGAATAGTATTAGCCTTTTTTTTTGCAACTGCATTACATTGCTGGCTCACATTCAATTTGTGATCCACTATAACCCCCAGATCCTTTTCAGCAGTACTACTGCATAGCCAGTTATTTCCCATTTTGTAGAGGTTCATTTGATTTTTTTTTTCTTCCCAAATGTAGTACTTTGCACTTGTCTTCATTGAATTTCATCTTGTTGATTTCAAACCAATTCTCCAATTTGTCAAGATCATTTTGAATTCTAATCCTCTCCTCCAAAGTGCTAGCAACCCCTCCCAGGGTGATATCATCCACAAGTTTTATAAGCATACGTTCCACTCCATTATGCAAGTCATTAATACTGGACACAGGACAAACTCCTGTAGGACCCCACTAGATATAGCCCCACAGTTTGGCAGCAAACCATTGATAACTACTCTTTAAGTATGGTCTTTCAACCAGATGTGCACCCACCATATAGTAATTGCATCTCAACCACATTTCCCTAGTGTTCTTATGAGAATGTCATGTGGGACTGTGTCAAAAGCCTTAATAAAATCAAGATATGTGACATCCACTAGGCCAATAACTCTATCAAAAGAAAGAAATTAGATTAGTTTGGCATGACTTGTTTTTGACAAATCCATGTTTGCTATTACTTATAACTCTTTTATCCTCTAGGCTTTTACAAATTGATTGTTTAATAATTTGTTCCAGTATCTTTCCAGGTATAGAAGTTAGGTACTATATTTGTCCTT